ACTTTGTCTGCATTTACAGACATATTGCCCCAGGATAAGAGATGTAATTCTCTGAAAAGAAGAAAATTAAATCATTACCCTCTTCACCCAGGCCTCTTTGCCGTTAGAAAGTTAGTTTTGCATTTAATGAATATGGGCTTGTGTCTTCCTAATGAGTACGAGATAGCTGATGTAATTGAAAACTTAAGGAGGGGAAAATCATTACAAGTTTTTAAAATCAATTTATTGTGTATATTTGTGTTATGAATTATAAGAGACAATGAGTGTGCTGGAAACTGAGCACTATTATTTACCCACAGGCCAGTCCACAGAAAATAGCTGGATAGTTGGTTACCCATTTTTTTACCTCTGAGGATTAAAGCAGCAGGACTGGTCCCTTTTTGAGAACTTGAGATGTATATTGTGTTTTTAAATATGAGTGAGAACCTAATGACTCCAAGCATGGGTGGGTACAGTACAATATATAGCATGGCTTAGCAGATGAGGTCATATCAATAGACAGCAGTGGATTGAACTTCTAATATTAAATATTTTATCAATGAAGATAGTTGGTCTATGTCAGGGGCACTGTTCCATCTAATATTTGCCATTCTCGTGTGGAATAAATTTTGTTGTGTGCACCAAAGCATGTGCAGATGTGCACTACCAATAGAAACAGATGCTGCAGGCTGTGGGCAGTTGTGGGCATTCTGCCCATCAGCTGGGCAGCACCTGAATCTCTCCTGGGTGGCCACGTAAGTGCTCAGTTTACAGGGAACACTGGTTGGGGTGGCCAACTGAGTGTCTGAGCTGCATGCGATATCTTCAGAGAGCTGGGGCACACCTGCCAGGGTTTAGGACTTCATCCATACAGGAGATACTTGCTGGGACATGGGGCTTCAGCAAGAGCAGGGCTGAAGCCCCAAATCCCAGCAGGCATGGCATGAGAACACCCCTTCCTACTGGGCAGAGGCCCCTATCCCTCTACCCCATTGCAAGGTAGAGGTCTTGAGATCCCCTCCCCACTTTGGCAGGTGGAAAATGGGGGAAAGCTTCTGAAAGCCACACTTTAATGTAAAAGAGTCACATGTGGCTTGCAAGCCACAGTTTCACCACTTGTAGCCTATGTTCAACAAGATCTTATCTGTCTCAGGTCCCTCCAACACTTAGTTATATCCACAAATTCAGTGGTCTCAACATTTCCCAAATCAAGTCCCTCATTTCAAATTAGGAACACACACTGGCCTCCTGGACTATCTAGAGTCTCCATCCCATCTAGCTAGGAATTCCTTCCCATGTAGCAATACAGGAATGGCAGGGGTATCCTGTGCAGAGAATGGGGGTGGGGAGGAGACAGAAGATGGTAACTCCCAATTTGAGAACCTCCACACTATTACATCTTGTCCCAAACAAGAGAGTAAGCTTGGATGAGCCAGTATGGAATTCAGCTATGTCCAGTGTCAGGAACATCTTTCTGGTGTTGCACTTAATGTCCTTATAAAAGGTATTTTGGTCTCATCTGTCCAGTGTTGTATGACTTCAGAGCTCTATGGGCTAATGGGACTGATTGTCATTGTGTTCCCAAGTATGAAATTGGGAACCGCAAAATGAACCCTGAACAATGAGAGGCAGGAAGAGCAGAGGGGCGGGAGGTGAGGGACCTGCAAGGAGGAGGGAGAGGCAGTTCATAAGGTCAATATGATTCATAACAGATCCACAAATCTATGCCATTAGTTGACAGTGCCTTTTCCCTTCTCTCTCACTATTTCTCCCCAGGCCTAGATAATCCACGTCAATCCCCTGTACATTTATCTCTGAGGCCAGCATTCGTTCGCAGACTTGCGTGTCAGCCCATGACAAAGATTTTCTTCTCTAAGCTCCTGATTTCTCTCTTTTCTCTCTCTCTCTCTTTCCTGGCCTTGCACTAATATCCAGACCTTTCATCTGTCCCTGGTCTTCATGAATAGCTGCCCACTACCATCCATCACTACAGAGCGGGATTAACAATAATGGCCTTTTTTTAAAGTGACAGCATTCTTATGAAAGTTTTCTCCATTTAAAATTAGCATAAGCAAGATTTCCTCATGGCACCGTGTCAGAGTAAAGTGATCAGTAAAAGGGAACAGTAAAGTGATTGTGAGAAGCTCTCTGCGAGGGGATGCTCTCAGAAGCTACCACCATCTAGTCTCTTTTAGGCTGTTTAATATAGCCAGATGGCAATTAAAATTGACCTTTGTGCAGTTATGCATGCTTGCTGAATCACTAGTCTTTCACTGGGACTAAGGCTAGATTGCAGACTTCTTTCAGAAAAAGCTTTTCCAGAAGAGATCTTCTGAAAAAACTACTTCTGAAAGAGAGCGTCCACACTGCCAAAGCACGTTGAAAAAGTGATCTGCTTTTTCAAAAGATAGTGTCCACATTGATTGGATGCTATTTTGCATTTAAATTGTGATTACTATGGATGGAGTGGCCACCAGGGCACCTATGCTTTTTCCTGGAGGCCTCTTTTTTCTAAAGAAAACCCTTTTCCCCATCCACTCATGCCTTTTTCCAAAAGAGCTCTTTCTTTCCTCATAGAAAGAGGATTACCACAGTTGGAAAAACCCCTCTGTTCTTTTGATTTTTTCCAAAAGAATGCGGTTGCAGTGTGGACAAAATTGAAGTTTTTTCAGAAAAATGGCCTTTTTTCTGAAAAAACTCTGTAGTGTAGACATAGCCTTGGAGAGACATGGCTTCAAATGCAGGTTAGGTTGCAAGTTAGATGAGGCCTGTGTGCTCTGATCATGGGGCTTGGCCATAATGTTGGTATGAACGGAGGTTTCCATTCAGGAGAGGCTCTGAGCTGGGACAGTAGATGGTATGGATTTAAAGCATAGAACATGGCAAACTGAGCTGGGTATGAGAAGGGAGAATGGGTATGTCTACACTACCCCGCTAGTTCGAACTAGCGGGGTAATGTAGGCATACCGCACTTGCAAATGAAGTCCGGGATTTGAATTTCCCGGGCTTCATTTGCAAGTGCGGTATGCCTACATTACCCCGCTAGTTCGAACTAGCGGGGTAATGTAGGCATACCGCACTTGCAAATGAAGTCCGGGATTTGAATTTCCCGGGCTTCATTTGCAAGTGCGGTATGCCTACATTACCCCGCTAGTTCGAACTAGCGGGGTAATGTAGGCATACCGCACTTGCAAATGAAGTCCGGGATTTGAATTTCCCGGGCTTCATTTGCAAGTGCGGTATGCCTACATTACCCTCCTAGTTTGAACTAGGAGGGTAGTGTAGACATACCCTATGGTTTTTGCCTATATCAAAACTAGCTCTAGTCAGTGCTTTCTGCACTTCGTTTCCCTGATTACCAAACATAGCCTCAATTAAAATAAAGTCTTGACCTCCACAGATTGTTCCTGTGACAGCAGATTAATCTGGAAACCTCTGTTCTGGAAACAATGCATGCTGATCCTAAAGTCCTCATCTCTTATCACAGGTATGTCTACACTAGCCACCCTAGTTCAAACTAGGGTGGCTAATGTAGTCATTCGAACTTGCAAATGAAGCCTGGGATTAAAATATCCCGGGTTTTATTTGCATGTTCCCAGGTGCCGCCATTTTTAAATGCCCGGTAGTTCGGACTCCCTGCCCACGGCTACACGTGGCACGGGCTAGGTAGTTCGAACTAAAGCCCCTAATTTGGACTACTGTTACTTCTCATTGCAGTCTGGATGTGTAGGAACTC